CTTTTATTCACTCGCCTCAAAAGGCGAAACATATGTCTTATAATAGCACCGAAAATGCATAAATGACTGACTCAGTGTTTAATAATCCATGTTACCAAGTAGTTAATCAGCGAAGTATTTAAATTCAACTAAAACCATAAGTGTATTAGAACCAATAAGATGAATCTGTATTGAAAGAATTCCCTTTCACACTCATTTTGTCTATGTTATCTTGCTTTACTGTTTAACATTCGATTATTTAGTCTAACTCCTATTTGATATTTAAAAGTTCTTGATAACTGCTAACAATTATTAATTCCAGAAATCCATTGCACCAAGTGATTTTCCAAGATTACTTTTCGTTACAAATTGATATCAGTATTAGAAGGAGTAAAAACCCAGGGCGAATGGACAAGCCCATTGACCAAGTTTACGAATAACTACCAGGATGCATCCACCAACCTACGAGGTATAAAGCCTTTATAATCTCGTATCCAGTGTAAAAATCAGTCACCCACTAAGTCAATAATTCTCATGGTGACATTGAAATTTGATGAAAGTTATCTACACAATTATTAAAATTATTTTAATGATTCTATTAATAATTTTTGTAATTTTTTTTGAAAAACATTCATATATTTAGCTATTGTAATCTCATTTATAATGTGTATGCCTTGTTGGTCATTATATTTATGCATTGAACCTATACTACTGGGATTGAAACAAAATCCTTTAATGGCTAAGTAAGTTTTAATAAATCTAATGTTTTTCAAACATAATATATATTTCAATTTAAAATTATAGCTTTACAAAATTCAATATAAATAGACATTTTTACCACTGGTTACTCTTGTCGATTTGACAATAATACTTTGAGTAAAGGATAAACAATTCATGAAAGTGTTCATACTTAAAACAATAAAAATTCAGTTTACAACTAGAGACTAAATTAGTAAATATTATTACCGAAATTAGGCTTGATAATCGTAGATGAGCAGTGCTAAGGACTTCCATACTAGAACGAAATGGCTATTCAGTGCTTCCATGTTTTCCATAATGGTTTAGTTTCAATTAACTGAGGAATGCAACCATTAAATTCCAAATACATTGAGCATTAGTTATATTATTTAAATAATAATGAAATAACATATTTTTATCATGAGTGGAAAACATTGAATTTTGAACGTTTAATGACCTGGCATATGTCATTGTTTAAATGAATAATAATCTATGATACACTACAACAAATTTACACATAAATTAAAGACTGAACTGTACAACCGCTATGAACTGTACTAAAACGTACATTTTTTTGTAACAAATAGAGTTTAGCTTCAATACAAAGATAATTCAGTGAAGAATATTTTATTGTCTATGATGTCACTAACCAAAGCTGTGTAATTGTACTTATAAGGATTTTATACATGGAAGTCTACAATAAAGTAGAAAATTGTTACGTTTTTAAAAAAGATAGCAAGAGTTAACAAAAATATCAAATGTTGATCAAAGTTATTTTATAGTCAGGAGATGACGAAAATGGAAATAACTTATAGAAGACAGATTTCATTTGGTTCAAAAGCAACCTAAAAAATAAGAATGGACTGTTAAAACCATGGTTAGATAACGGATAGGATATTGCCTCTTGTGAACACATAGACCAGACTGTTATGCATAGTGAAATAAACATCTCGAAAAATCTTCCCTGGACGTTGCATGGTATATTCATCACACTAGATACGGAAATTTCAGAGATCTTTTATCATAGATTCATATCGGCCGATGCACTGCAGAAAACCGAGGAGTATTTATCAGTTATTTCAAACTTAGTTTTGGGCTCTTAACCAGTGTTCATAATTTTAAAGTAGGATAAACAACTGTTCAGCATTTTTAAGCCTCTCAATTTATTTTCCGGCTGATACAACTAAGTAACAACACAAAATAATAAGATTATTTATTCAACAAAGGAATCCTTCTGGACAAATTTATTCCCAACACTTTCTAATCTAATTTCTCATAAAAACATATAACTAACAATAATAATAATATAATATATTCTGGAAACAATAAGTACAGTGTTCATGTCAGTTTATAGGCATGATCGGCTTGATATAGATAGTAATACTGAATGTGAAAAACAATGTAATATTAGATTGTTTGAAGTGTTCTACTTCAAAAACATTTTAGGTAGTATGTTTTTCATACGTATTCTAGCAATAACAGGCATCAATGGGGAACTTTTAATTCTTTTTAAGTGGACATTCTGTTGAAATATGAACGGTACATTAAGGGTCATTTCTTGAGCCATAACGAGTTGATTATTATCTGAAACTATAGGAAATAAAATGGAAGCAGAGAGCACAAAACAGCAAAAACAATAACTACGACAATAATTCAGTCAGGTCTACAGTAATGTATTAGTCAAGTTATTTTATGATATATTGTTTGTGTTAGATATTACTTAAATTCGTTAGTATTGACAGGGAAGATGTCAATGTAAAATAACAGCAGGTAGGCAGGTTTATTTAGTAGGCTCAATAGTGAAAACGATTAAGCATTTAAAGTTCCTATTATCTCATTATGGAATGAGATATACTTACAGGTATAAGCACATTTAAGGAATTTCAGAGGAGAAGTAAACATCAATGCAGTAAACAAAGGATGAGAGTGATGTTGTTTCACGGACAGATTGTGATAAAGTATCCCTAAGTTTGGAAAATTTACTGGTAAAGTAATTCATTTGGAAAGATTTAGTATGAGATTGATTCACCAATGACAAACAGTTACAGATAGCACTACTAGTGGTTTCTACATATTGAATTGTTCCAGTGAATGTAAAAGACAGTCAGTTAGGTTTTGTGATGAAAACGATCAAATGAAGTTTAGGTTTCCTCTTCCATAAAGGGTTGAGTCCAGGGTTATTACATTCGGACTTATAATCTTAGGTGCAATCAGTCCCAAGAATGCAATCTGTAAATCCTCTATGAATGGATTCCAGCCTTAGTTTATTGTTTATCTTGACACTTAAGAATAAACGTGCATTATTCTGGCAGACGTCAAATGCGAACTTTGTGTATTAAAATGAGTGACTCTCATATAGAGGTTAAAAACTATGCAACCCTGAAGATATTGAGACTTGTAGGTCTGTTGCGAGACCTTTTCTAAGAAGGGCAGATTGTAGAAAACCTGACTCCTAGATCCACTACTGTATGTAACTTGGATAACACCTTACCATTTATAAGTTGGGTGAAGTATTACGAAACTATATTCATCCACATTTAACCGTGTTTCAAGTGCCACTTTTAGTACTACTGGGGTACCTTTTTGACACTGATGCTAATACAATTTCGTATAGATTTCAGCTCGTGAGGAGAAAATGAATGCAGCACATTAAGTTTATTTGCATATAGAATAGGTTTGCACACAGAGAAGCAATCATAAACATCATTTATATAAACTAAAATGAGCAAAGGACTTAGGAAACTACCTTGTAATACACCACTTTCAACCGAGACAGCATCTGACAAGGAGGTTTTCAGTATAAGGCTGTGATGATTAAGGAGTTTTTAATTGAGATCATGTATGATATATCTGGGTACTAAGTTGCCTTAATGCATTTAGTATGCAATGTAAAAAACCGTGAACAACTTTATCGACCAGAAATTCCTGAAGACCAAAAATATCACTATTTCCATAGGACGAACTTATTTGCTAAAACTGAAGGGGAGGACAGTTAGGAAAGTTATCTGCTCAATGAGGTTGAGTCCATAGTGTCCAGTTCATTTTACTTATCAGAAAACTGATACGTTTCAGTTTATAAAATTTTTAAATAAATCTGAAGGACACATTTATCCGTTGCAGTCTACTTAATATTTGTCTCGTAATTTTATTCATCTACATAAATTATTCAAGTAATAAGATAATAAAAAAAACCCACTCCATTGTTCACACACGTATAATACTATTTTGTCTAGATTAAATAGTTTGTATTTGTAACTATCATTTACCTCTTGTTTCAATTATGTTTCAGGAAAGCTTCTGAATATTTATTATTTATGATACCAGGATTGTATGTAAGTTTTAATTAAACATAAATATATGTATAACTATACTTTGTTCCAACAATGAATTACATAATTAATCGATTTATTTTTTGACTCTTTCTTCAAGTTTGCTGCAATAGGTCAGATTTTAACAAAATACGTTCAAACTCAAGTAAGTCTAACTGTATTTTTAATAATATTAAATGATTACATTATTAGAAGTGAATATAAGAAATTCTGTTAAATGTGAAGTATAAAGGTTTAAGAACGACTAGTTAAAATAACCCAAAATTGGATTTGATTAAATAGTCAACATAAAATGATAACATACAAACGTTTTCATTCCTTTTCCAAAGATGTTTTTTTACTGTTTCTAAATAATAAGGAATGAAAATTGGGTTAGATATTAACACCATTGGATACCGGCTCAGTGGTCCAGTAGGTTAGGCGTTCACACGCAAGACTTAAGGCCCTGGGTTCTAATCCCGCGAGCGTGATCGTGGATGCACACTGCTGAGGAGTTTCACAATAGGACGAAATGACCATCCAGTGCTTCCAGGCTTTTAATGGTTGTCCAAAATCAATCAGTTCATGATCCCAATTAAAAACTTAATAATCTTTACAACTCATATACTGAGAACTGAGTAAATTAAAGTTCAGCTTTCAAAACTTTTATGATAAAACGACAATAACGTTAGTTAAATTTATGATTTCCATTAAGACTTCGAGGTGTAATATTTAACTAAAAATTTTATAACTGAAATAAAAAAGTGTGGTTTGTTTCAAATCGTTTACAAGTTTTAAGTAATCAAAAGATATATAATCATTAGTGACTGATTACAAGAGATGATTCCCTTAGTTCTAGTGAAAAGCAATAATCAACAGAGTTTAGCTTTCCTGAGATCTAAGTAGCAACCCATAAGGGACTGACTGAAGCTAGGTATGTAAACCAATGTATTCTAACTTGTGTGAAGTTTAAGCAGTCACTGCCAGGTCTGAATGGATTAAGTTTGAGTTTCGGAGGGATAGTTGATGTGCATACCTGAAACACCTCTTACTAGAACAACAAAAATACTCACTGCTTTCTGGTTTTAAGTGATCGTCTTAATACAGTTAGAGTTTGACGTAAACTACAAAATCCTGAGAACAGTTGTAGAATATCATTTCGAAAATTGCTGTAACATATACATAAGATCATAGTCTAGCAACGCCCAACTAAACTTTTTCAGGTAAGCAATTGAATCCATTTTGTAACTATAATTCTGAAATAATTTCAAGTTATAAGCAGTCGATACGAAACAGACGAAATAGAATGAGTATGATCAGAAGATAGTAATGAATATTTTTCCTCTATGTTAGGAGCATCAAAATAGTTGAACAGAATGACCCCGGAAACATCTTAAGGTCGAAAAATACGGAGAAAAATTAAGGGAAAATAATATTTCATGACATTATTATCGTCATAAAGATGAAAGAAAGACTCGGAGGCTTTTTTCTTTACAAAGATCAAGCGTTATCTCATAAGCACTTGAAAAATCCACAAACCTTGTGTAGTATGGATAAATTCTGTATATTACGAAAATAGTTATATTTGGTCAGTTGATGAGATTAAAATTAAAACCGGTTGTCTCTTACTGATCGACATTAGCTTTTCAGAGATTTCCCAATAATACAACAACTATAAGTAATATATGTGTTTTACAAGGGTAAACAGGCAGTAATTCATAGATAAAGGCAAAAGAACATAAGACTTGAAGTAGTGTTCAACTTTCACTTGTACATTATTATTATTAGCTTTATTCAATATTATATATTTTGGCAAAAACGAGTTTCCGTTCCTTATTTCTTGATCGATCCTGACGATAAATATTGAGTGATCGCCAATTAGATGTTAGCAGTTCGAGGATCGACATCTTTTCGAAGTATATTGCCAGTAACCGCCATGTCTCTGATTGCGCTCCATACTGACTGAATAAATTGTTTAATTAACTGACATAATGATCTGTTGAAACAAACAAAAGACAAATAACTTTTTGAATTATCTAGATTGCAGAAACAGGTAGCCTAGATATTCAAGCTGGTCACCTATATCATTGGGATACAAAAAGATTCAACTTTGGTAACTAGTCACTTAGTTATTGTTAAGAAACAACTTGTTTAATAAAAAAGAATTCTAAAGATATATTAATCTAATTAACATTTCAAAATTTGTTGATTTTTTCAAGCAGTTCAGAATCATTGTGATAATCAGTAATTGTGATAAACTTTCACAAGATAAAATTTTTACTTCCTTGATCTATCTACTCATTAATATACAGAAAATAACTTGTCTCAGTCTAGATTAAGACCTTGACACGATAGGCTGACTAGTTTAACTTTGGAAGCAAAAACGTGCATCGCATACATCAAACGAAAGCTTATGGCTTGTAGAATAGACTAGGAACAAAAATAAATGTTAATGTTTTACAAACATTGAATTAAGTGAAATAACGTTCCTAAAAATAGCTTTTGTTGTTCATCATAGCTTCTTTGTTTTTTCAGTTCACATCAAATTGTTATGAACATTATTCAGATGTGCATCAATGGTTAATATGAACTTTTTGATATCTGTTTGAAAATTTACTAGTTCCTTTCAGGTCTAAATAGTTTCTGAGTTAAACTTTGACTAAATGTAAATATCTAAATTGACGAACGTTGAAAAAGCATTTTATATCCTGATTCAATCAATAATTCATATAAATTCAAAAACTTTGTCAAAAATATTAAAGATAGCTTTCAGCATTGAGCAGTCAAAGACTTCTATTCATTATTTTCAAAATACGGGGTAGGGATCCAATGGTTTATGTTTTTAATTTTATTCGATACATGACTTAATGTTCATGTTCTTTAGTTTCTAATGTTTTTGTAGCTAAAATTGGTTCTTGACGTTAATTATTATTTATTATTATTATCATTAACTTTATTCGATATTATATTTTTGGTACAATATAGAATTCTCAGCGCAAAGTATTTCAACAAGTTTCCATTTCTTTCTTCTTGGTTGGTCCTGGCGATAAATATTGAGTGATCGCCAGTTCAATGTTAGCAGTTCAGTAAATGAACATCTGAATAGTGTGCATTCTTTTCGTTGTATATTGCCAGAAACCACATTGTCTCTTATTGAGATTTTTGTAACTTTGACAACGAAAGGTTGTACAGTTTTCAGAAACGCAGCAGAATAGATTATGCGATTAAAAGACATAATGATATATTAAAATAGATAACTTGTTGAAATATCTAGATGGCAGAAACAGGTAGCCCAGATGCTCAAGCAGGCCGCACTTTTGTTTTTCATGATGAACAGTTACAGACTCATCATCTTAGTTAAAAATGCGATTTCATTTGACTTACTGACTTAATCTTATTTATACCGATTTATATACAAAAGCCAATAGTTATCAGTGAATTACTTCACTTTTTTAAAATAGAAAAAAATCCATAGGCTGATAATTTACGTAATGACAATACAACATAGCTTGTACCCTATTTACACTGAAACAGTCCAAAACTCATAACAAACAGTAAACTTCTATAGTAGTTATGTTACAGAAACTAGAAATCAATATAAAAAGCCTTTTTTCACTGTAGATAAGATATAATTTCACTTCTTATTTTTACACAATCATATGAGCATCTACTTTTGTTTATTTTCCTCATTATATTTACCAAAATAATCATATCTAACTTAGTCTAAATTCAGATGTATGAATAACTGTTAATTATAGAATCGTGTATATATTCCTTTGGCAATCGGGATTCTAACAAATTGTTTCAATGCATCTCTGCATTATATTCTTCTATTTGTTTTCAAAATTGGAATAATGTAAGTTATTATAATGTTTTTAAAAGTTTAGCCAAATAACAATGTATGTTTACATGTATAAATAACGATGTCCTGTAATTCTCACGTTTTCAATACTCGAAGACTGTCATCTAAATTCGATGTATGATTATGTAATAGTAATGAAATAAAAAGGTTATAGATCAAATCTGTTTCAGACAAACTACTAAATTATGTAGAAAAATGTTACCCGAGTAATATTCACAGAGTTTCCTAAGCTTCATACATTCTTTTTTAAAACTGTCTTATCTAAACTTTGTTGAACAAATAGGATTATATTCGAATAATAAATTTCAAGTGCTGACTAAAGGATTTTACAGTACTCCTTGGTTTTTCATAGCTTATTGGGTAAATTGAATTAAGTGATAGAGCAAGAAGAAGCAGAATAGCATACACTTACTTATTTTGCAGATTCTCTTCAACTGCTTAAAGTCTAGAAGAAATTGCATTACACATTGAAAATATGCTTACTTTCCGTCAAATATGTTTTGACTAAATTTGAGTTTCCATGTATATGTAGATTGATATGAGACAATAATTGTGGAATGATTAAAAAATTCTAAACAGACTAAAAGGACAGTATGTTTTTGTTAAGGAAATTGCGCATTATTCGTCTGAAAGTAGATGTGACTTTGATGTTTCAAAGGCCTTGGTAATGCCACTGAAATAAATGTCTTGGAACTTATCAAGCCCTTCTGAAGATGTGTTGCGGATGTCAGATCCCCAGAACATACTTGGGGAAGGACCTAATTTTGTAATTTTATTTAGAAAATTGGAATTTCTTCGTTTTTGCGACAAAGGTGCTCTTGTCACCTTCATGTCATATCTCCCACTGAGAAATATCTTATATGCTATTGGTCCGTTGAGTCTTTTAGTATTCTATTTGATAACTCTCCCCAAGGACGGTTTTGTACTGTATATATACGTTTTGAATTGTGTTTGTTGTTATCGCTCGTTTCTGGCTGTTTGCAGAATATACTCCCCCATCCCAAGCTTGGACTTCTTCCTCTAGTTAGCGGGGCTGGGACGAATCATTAGCTAGCTTACTGGTTTTTGGTCCCTGAGTCTTTGTTTACGTTGGCAGATTAAGTGAACTCGTGATAGCTTCAACCCTAGCAAGATGTTGCTACAATATTAGTCAAACTAAATTTGTCTCGGAAACCTGTTCTTCATAAATTTGTCAAGTTACATATTTCCGTGACTTTAAGTAAAGTTTCTTATTTATTGCTTCTTATATGAGTTTTACTTGGTTAGTTAGATATTTTAAATATTCCACAGACTGAGACATAAATATCAGATTTCAGATTTCCAAGTTTCAGATCAGTATAATAGGACTGTCTTGACGTTTATATTGTAAAGTCTGACGTTGATGTTGGTCAACAATTGTTTTGAGTCCCATATGTTTTCCAGTTGTAGGAATCCCAATTTGTCCCTTCATATCTGCACCAGATGCTCCTTGTTTATCAATGATGCCCCCACCTATTCCTGAGCTTCACAATCATGTGCAACATGACGGGTGCTGGCTGTGTTGTATTTTAGAATCTTGTTCTTTTCTTTATGTATTTTAAGGCTTACTTCTATGAGAGCCGCTGTTATGGTAACCAACTTCGTCTTCATTTGTTGCTTTGCACGAAACAGTAGGGATTGTTTATCTATAAAGTCTAAATCCTCCAACTCTGTCTAAGGTGTTCACTGTATCGTGTGCTTTTCCTTAAGTGTGGAGGTCTTGATATTTTAATCAACGCTCATAAGAAGGAGAAAGGGCGAGAGTGAACAGTCTTGATTGAGATCGGCTTCACTTGTAATACATCTTTAAGCTCTTCTCCATAGACGACTAGCAATGCTGCCAAAGTTGAAGCTTCGTGTGATGGTGACGATTTCAGCCATTCTATAGTGTCAAACAATGTTTTATCATGTTATCGTAATCGAAAAGTTGCTATGTAGCTACTTGACTCTAGATTGACCTCCTATAGGACTGGAATGCTTACATTAATTTCACTTATACGTAACTATTACCGTAATTTCCATAGTTTTCAGTGTTCATTAAATAATTGCCAGTTTTAACAATGTAGTTTTGATGTAGTTACATTCATAGCACATTACTTTACAAACATCAATCTTCATTAAATTATCGTAGTTTCGATCAACTGATCATGGTGGTTTAAAAATAAGAAAATATGCTTACAACATGGTAACATTTAACATTTCAGACTTAAACAAAAGCCAACACTATTTTTATATTCATTAGTAAATCATAAGTAGTGTCTTAAGTTATATCTTAAACACATTTCAGTAAATCTTAATATTTCTTTATATAATCTATGCTAACAGTGTAAATGTAAATTTTCTAAAGTAGTTTTAAATGTAATCGATATATCTACTGTTATAATTCATTCTATCATTAGAGGTTCAGCTATTTCTCAATCATCAGCTTATTTATTTCAATGTGTTTGCTATCTACCATATATTCTGATGTTGCAGCAATCAGGACTAACATGGAAAGGTAATTTGTTTCTTCTATTCTTATTAAATATTTACAACTATGAAATAATGTGTCTATATTTATTTTAATGGGATGGTAGTATAGTGGGCAACTCCGCCTGGAGTCCCTCCGGGGGCTACTGCCGGTCCCAAGCCCGGATAAAGGAGGAGGGTTGGGCATGGGGTTAGCGTCCCCATCCCGTAGAAAACTAACTCGCTAAAAAAACGCTAACCAGAAAAAATTATTCAAACCTTTTAAACTCTGCCCTGGGAGTCAGAAGGTCTTCATTTAGAAGAATTATGACGCCTCATGATGAAAGCCGAATTCCTTCGGAAGTTACGAGGCCGATGCCCCTTCTGACAACCAGAGCAACCATTTGTTTAGGTACATGGAATGTTCGTACAATGTGGGACACCGGAAGAGCCTTCCAAATTGCTGCAGAAATGAGAAGATACAACCTAGAGGTACTTGGGATCAGTGAAACACATTGGACACAAGTTGGACAACAACGACTAACTACAGGAGAGCTCCTGTTATACTCCGGCCATGAAGAAGAAAATGCACCACATACACAAGGAGTTGCATTGATGCTGTCCAAACAAGCGCAAAATGCACTTATAGGATGGGAATCTCATGGACCAAGGATCATCAAAGCCTCGTTTAAAACAAAGAAAGAGGGCATTTCAATGAACATCATCCAATGCTATGCGCCTACCAACGACTACAATGAAGACGCTAAAGATCAATTCTACAATAGGCTGCAGTCAATCGTCGAGAAGTGCCCAACAAAGGACCTGACCATTCTGATGGGAGATTTCAACGCCAAGGTTGGAACGGACAACACTGGATATGAAGACATCATGGGACGACACGGACTGGGAGAAAGAAACGAAAATGGTGAGAGATTTGCAAACCTATGTGCCTTCAATAAGCTGGTCATAGGCGGCACCGTATTCCCACATAAACGCATACACAAAACCACATGGACTTCACCGGATCACTCTACACAAAACCAAATCGACCATATTTGCATCAACAAAACGTTCAGGAGGACTATAGAGGACGTGAGAACCAAGAGAGGAGCTGATATAGCATCAGATCATCACTTACTGGTCGCCAAGATGAAATTGAAACTCAAGAAGCACTGGACAACGGGGCAGACAGTATCACAAAAGTTCAATACGGCCTTTCTTCAGGATACTAACAAACTCAACAAATTCAAGATAGTCCTCAGCAACAAGTTCCAGGCCTTTCATGATCTACTCAATGGAGAAGGAAGTACTGTGGAGAGCAACTGGAAGGGGATCAAAGAGGCAATCACTTCAACATGTCATGAGGTCCTGGGTCACAAGAAGCACCACCACAAGGAATGGATCACTGTTGATACACTGGATAAGATTCAAGAAAGAAGAAACAAGAAGGCAGCGATCAATACCAGCCGAACAAGAGCAGAAAAAGCTAAGGCACAAGCTGAATACACGGAAATAAACAAACAAGTGAAAAGGAGCATCAGAACCGACAAACGTAAATATGTGGAAGATTGAGCAACGACGGCGGAAAAGGCTTCAAGAGAAGGAAACATGAGACAATTGTATGACACGACAAAGAAGCTCTCTGGAAATCGCCGCAAACCAGAACGACCAGTGAAAAGCAAGGAAGGCAAGGTAATCACCAACATTGAAGAGCAACAAAACAGGTGGATAGAACACTTCAAAGAACTCTTGAATCGACCAGCCGCACTGAACCCACCCAACATCGAAGCAGCACCCACGGACCTCCCAATCAATGTTGGCCCACCAACAATTGAAGAAATCAGCATGGCCATCAGACAAATCAAGAGTGGCAAAGCAGCAGGACCGGACAACATCCCGGCAGAGGCACTAAAAGCAGACGTAGCGGCAACTGCAAGGATACTCCACATTCTCTTCAATAAGATTTGGGATGAGGAACAAGTACCAACAGACTGGAAAGAAGGACTTCTGATCAAAATACCGAAGAAAGGCGATCTCAGCAAGTGTGATAACTACAGGGGCATCACTCTTCTCTCAATACCGGGAAACGTCTTCAACAGGGTATTGTTAAACAGGATGAAGGACTGCGTAGACGCCCAACTTCGAGACCAACAGGCAGGATTCCGTAAGGATAGATCGTGTACAGACCAAATCGCAACTCTACGGATCATTGTGGAACAATCAATTGAATGGAATTCATCACTCTACATCAACTTCATTGACTACGAAAAGGCATTTGACAGCGTGGACAGAACAACACTATGGAAACTTCTTCGACACTACGGCGTGCCTCAGAAGATAGTCAATATCATACAGAACTCATATGATGGATTACACTGCAAAATTGTGCATGGAGGACAGTTGACAAAGTCGTTCGAAGTGAAGACCGGTGTTAGGCAAGGTTGCTTACTCTCACCCTTTCTCTTTCTCCTGGTGATCGACTGGATCATGAAGACGTCAACGTCTGAAGGAAAGCGCGGGATACAATGGACATCTAAGATGCAGTTGGATGATCTAGACTTCGCAGACGATCTGGCCCTTCTATCCCAAACGCAACAACAGATGCAGGAGAAGACAAACAGCGTGGCAGCAGCCTCAGCAGCAATAGGTCTCAACATACACAAAGGGAAAAGCAGGATTCTCCGATACAACACAGCATGCACCAATCCAATCACAATTGACAGAGAAGATTTGGAAGATGTAAAAACCTTTACATATTTGGGCAGCATCATTGATGAACAGGGTGGATCTGATGCAGATGTGAAGGCGCGGATCGGCAAAGCAAGAGCAGCATATTTACAACTGAAGAACATCTGGAGCTCAAAGCAACTGTCAACCAACACCAAGGTCAGGATTTTCAATACAAATGTCAAGACAGTTCTACTGTATGGGGCAGAAACCTGGAGAACTACAAAAGCCATCATCCAGAAAATACAGGTGTTTATTAACAGTTGTCTACGCAAAATACTTCGGATCCATTGGCCGGACACTATTAGCAACAACGTACTGTGGGAGAGAACAAACCAGATCCCAGTGGAGGAAGAAATCAGGAAGAAGCGCTGGAAGTGGATAGGACACACATTGAGGAAAGCACCGAACTGCGTCACAAGACAAGCCCTCACATGGAATCCTGAAGGTCAACGGAAAAGAGGAAGACCAAAGAACACATTACGCCGAGAACTGGAGATAGACATGAGAATAATGAACAAGAATTGGATGGAACTAGAAAAGAAGGCCCAGGACAGAGTGGGTTGGAGAATGCTGGTCAGCGGCCTATGCTCCATTGGGAGTAACAGGCGTAAGTAAGTAAGTAAGTAAGTAAGTATAGTGGGCAACAAATTAGCCTGATATTCTGGCCTTAATCTCATAAGTTTGCGCATGACAACAACAATCGATCTTTTAGTAAAGTTGAATACCACATTTATGGTGTGTTAAATATTTATTTTCTAGATCTGTGCAATTTCATTACATAAAAAGGTATATTTTGTTAACTAGTTATTCCGATTCTGGATATTTGTTCAGTGGAACAGTGGATCAATAAGTGGGATTTTGAGCACTTATCTCTTCAGCCTTAATCAATCATACAATCGACCTCACTTATTTTCTAATACAAATATATTTTCCCCTGCTAAAACAAATACTAGTAAACTAACGTCTTTAAGTAGTATTTATTCTGTACTGGTTTACAAATGTAAAATCTGCTGTCCTTCAGACTATTGTTTTACTACAATATAATTATTTAATTTTCTATAACGAATAACACAATACTAAGTTTCCAATTTTTTTGAATAAATCCATATTGGTTTTTTATAAATCAAAATGTTGAAGTATCATCCTACCGGTCAACTTTGTTTGATTTCTAAATTCTAGAGCTTTGAATGGCATAACTTTTCTTGTAAAATCATTTTAGGTTGGACAAATGAACTATGGCTTGACTGGGGAAGATGGTTCAAATTAGCTATGCCAGGTGTTCTCATGATTACCTTGGAATGGGTCATTTTTGAAATGGGCAGTATAGTTTCAGGTGAATTAACGAGAATATTTTTGGAAATTGATGTTATAACCATGGATAAGTAAATGTAGATATGTAGAAGTATATTCTTTCTGAAACTACTCTATTACAACTTGATGAAATTTAAACAAAACTGTTAGTTATTCTTGATGATAAACCTAACTTTTCCATGGGTTCTTCGTGATTATTACTGGTATACACTGTGTAATTTTAAGAGCTTTTTTATCTACAAATTGATCGTTGTCTTGGCAAGTTTTAAACAAGATGTTACACGCCGTCTATATATCTTGATTAAGGTCATCAAGTAATTTATTAATGAGAGATGAACAATTTACTAGAAATCTGCTTTGCAAAACACATAAAGGAATTCGATATGGATAATATGCATACTGCATGTTTTTTCGATGTAATCAAGTATAAGTCATTTATGATACTGAAATATAGTTCAGTGGTCACATATTTCAACTACTTTTAATCGTCCAAATTCCCTAATAAATAAATTCACTAAAATCAAACAAACTAAATCATCTGTAATTGATATGATGGAGTGCTTTGTTGAGAATTATTTTAGTTAAACGTTTATGTGCAAAAACGCACATTTACAATAATGTAAACAACTCTTATATTCATAACATGATTTACTAAACTAAATTGCCTCCAGAAAATATGTTACGGAGATTATTTATTTTCAGTAGTAAGTTTCGATGCGTGTAAAAGATTTTATTGGTCAGCTTTAAAAGGGGTTTGTTTCCTTTAAATCTGATTCGGGATAATTCCAAAATTCAAGAAATGTAAATACTGATTGGTTGAGTCTTCTGGTATACAAGTTTGATGCAATGCATCAAGAAGTCCTTTTGTCTTTCACAAGCACGTTGTATCTTTACGTGTCCTCGAATATACTTTTATATCATTTTCTCCTGGTGGTCACGTTTTAGTTGTTTACCTCTTTAAAATGTATAGTATTTCGACAAATACTAAACTACATTCAACTTGACTGTATTCAATATGTGATAAACGAAAAGTTTCTTCGGCTGTCATATGAATATTTCTAGTTTAAATAATTTACATTCACCATTTTAATAACAGTTTGAAATATATTCTCCAATTTTCTTTTGAAATCATTCCTTTAACAGGTACACTTGGTGAAAGAGAATTAGCTACCCAAACAATTCTTTTCAACATTGAATCAATGTGCTTTACACTGGTAGGAATGCATTGTAATTTATCAATATATTATTGTCTACGCATAATTGATATTAGTCAATAATTTAAGTCTATTAACGTTATATGCTGTAAATAGATATTTTGTTTTTACTATGCATTTATAAAAGTCAAACTAAGAGAAAACTTTCTGTGCAATTAATATCGCTATTTGTGATGTATGACTGAAGTAATTAATTGTCAGCAAGTCATCAATTACAGATGTCTTAGAAATATTGCTCACATCTGCTGGGATCATCGGGTAAGTAATAGTGAGGTTAGATGCAGGGTATTAGGGAATGGTGGCAAATCAGTTGATGAGATTGTAAGTCTCCATCGACTTAGATGGTTGGGTGATGTGTTATGTATGCCTGAACACTGTTTACTACGACACGCAATGCTGACTAATATTGGAGATGGTTGGAAGAAAGTTGGGTGCGACCAAACCAAAACGTGACATCAGTGCTTGAAGTCACTAACTTCTAGTCTTAGCCATGTTGGTAGATGCAGACTACTTGGTTGGGTTCCGCGTGACTATCGTAACCAATGATTGGAGACTGTGTGACGTGACTCAAAATCGATCATAATGGCTTCGGCGTATACACTCTCTGTCTTCTCTTAAACTAAGAGATTAAAATCACTTCATATCTTTCTTTCTACGAACTAATTCTTTCTTCCTGTACTATACCATTATATGCAATCTTTCTTTTATATATTACCACCTCTGAATTAACTACTTTTATGAATCCGGTGTCCATCTTGTTATGTTAATGAGGTATGGCAACCTGGACCGATGAATATATGTGCCTGGTCCTACGTTGTAGCTGACTGACTGACTGACATCAATCCTTTCTAGGACATTCTTAAATAAATGTCATATATCATCTTCATTAAATGTAGACATACAATTATTAATGTAATAATCTGTCGATTTATTACAATGAATCTTCTGTTTACACGTGTAACCCATTGAGCCAAAAACTAAAAACAATAAAAAACAAAAGTTACAAAGATATCCATACAAATGTATCAGAACAAACTATTTCCAAATCAATGCTGTGTTTACACAAACTTGTCTTTTAGTATTGAAGAACAAAAATATGCTTTCAGTTTGACTTGAATAAATTGATTTACACAATAATAATACCTATGGATTATCAGAAAAGTTAATTCAAGCTTCTTATTAGATGTTCTAATATATTTTATTTGTTTCTGTGTTAGAAAAATATCTTTTGCGTATAAGCGTAAAACATAGTTTAATAATTTTGCACTAACCTTCAACAACGGTTATATTTGAGTAGAAATATATCTTTAACTAAAGCAATACCATATGATGAAATGGGATAAATTCATCAAGCAATCCTTACAGACTACTGATATTGTGATAAGCATATTTTGTCAGTCTAAATTCCCTTAAGATCAATACAACTTATAGAAAACCAATTCCGAGGACAGAATCTCTTTTGCTGGTTACACATTTAAAAACAGTATATAGGTAGAAATGTAGCGTTACCAATTGAATTAAGCGACACAAATTGGTTTAATCGGTAGTTTAGTAATCAAACACTAGATTATTAGTGTTTTACTTTTAATCCTTCTTTTTAAATCTTAGGAGGTGTAATTATTTCAGTTCCAAGATATCTGTACAAAATATGGTAATTTTTGAGCACTGAATAATTCACCATCAATACCATTACGTCATTTAATAATCAACTGTCAACTAGTTTAAAGCAGTTATAATATTACTACTTTGAAATATAATCACCAATTTGCTTCATCATCTCTAGAATGAGAAAAATACAATTTTTAAGTAGCTTATTTAAAATAATCTCTCTATTGTCACTGGATATCAACTTCTCATTCATTTCTGTATTGATACTTTGTCAAGAGTAATAGTAGTTTTCATTTTGATACGTTTTATGTTTAATCTTGAATGATCATTGATATTATCATCCTTTCAATACCCTTGATCCTACACTCTAAATAAATTGAACGAATGGTCATCATGTTAACTTATAATTACTCACAGTACTACGTTCAAACTACTCAAATATCTTATTAATTCAAGTGTTTATTTTTAATTATCTAATACTTTGATTATAATCATAATTTGTATGTTACGATGAACAGTGGTTGAACATTTAACCACATTCCATCCTCTCTCAGTGAAATAGTGGGATACTCTTTGAAAAGATATTTTAAGTAGTTCAAACGTTGATAATTGGAACTCCGGATAAAAATAACCGACTAAAATATGTTGAGACGAAATACTTGTTCAGTGATTCTTGTTTTTTATTAGTTGTTCAGGTGTCGTCAGTCTGTGATGTAATGAGATGGCTCGTTCGATTTCTTATGTTATTCTGAGAACTAATTAACTACTTATCTCTATAAAGTAATAATATCATGTATTTCTTGTACTTGTTTTTCATTTAGTTACCACTTGGATTTGGTATAGCATCAAGCATACGTGTTGGTCAATTTCTTGGTGCTCGCTCTTCAATCGGACCACGGTCAGTTGTTTCTACAGCTCTTGTAACATTATGTAAGTAAGAAGGATTGATAAAATCTGTGGATACAACTGATTTAGTATTGACATAAATTACTGTATCTTAGAAACGTCTTTCTTTTCAAAATATCATATCGTTTTTATTGTTATTTTGAAACTTTTCATGAGACTCAAAAACAGTCAGTGACGTTGTGTACATGTACTAAGTGACATGGTAGAAGAGATACTCCGTTACTGGTGTGGAATAACCACAATCCTAAATGTCTGATACTGATTGGTTGACGTTCGTACATGAATAGCATTTAATTTTCAAAAAAAATCAAAACAGATCCTGTTATTCACTAATGGGGGATTGGAAGGAAGGTATAGACTCTATGATATTGGTTTTTTGTCTTATTCCACTAAGGGCCAATTAATTCAATATAACGGTTCAGAGTTGCACAAATACAAAATAAACTATTTTTACATTTATCCCTAATGCTCATGTCTATAATAACGACAACTTAACGGAGAAAGTGATGAAAAATCAAAACACCAAACTATCAGTTGTACTAAGAGATTGAAAATCTGGTTCACAAGACCCTGAGAATTATTCAAGAATGTCCCAGAATCTAGACGAAAATCAGTAACTGTAAATATATAAAGAAGATGAAGAATAAGCGAATAGCTGTCAGTAACAGCATACACGATTAGGACAAGTGTATATACCATGGAAAAATAGGGAGTCGGACATATCGCAGATATGAAGTAGTGAATTGTAGTTTCGGCTGTGAAAGACGTTTTGATCCTAAAATTCTCTGAGTTAGCTCTTTCGATAAACTGATACATCTAAAATGGAAGATCTCAAGTTTGCACCTTATCCCTAGTACTTCCCCGACTAATGTACCTACTAAGGAAAGCGATTATCAGTTCCTCCGACTAGATCTTTCTAAAAAGACGTTTGCATGCTATTTTTCAAAATTTCTGCATGCTTATTTGTATTGACTTTACGTGAAGTAGATTTTCTTCTGCATTCTCTTCGGTGCATTTTCAGCTGGTTATTTTAGTTTTAGACTACTATAAATTAGCTTTGGAGAGAAACCATTTCAAAATGGTCTTCTTCGGACTTCAGTTAATTCATCACCGATCCATATTCTTTGTGCATGTTAGTGTAGTTCCCATAAATAAAGAATGAATTAAATTGACTTAGCTAAACTACTTTCATTTCTTTTTTTAATGACCCAATGCGTTTGTTTCATTGTTTTAAAATCAATGAATCAACTAAATTTGTATGTTTTCAAAAATAGTTTTTTAGTTTAACAATGAACATCAGTAAATTAAAAGAATTTTATCAATTGAATTATGTAGTTTAACGATGTTTGTCCAAGTGTTGAATTAAAACGAGTTAACTAGATAAGATTAAAATAATCCAACTGGATTTTTTTATTTATAATATAAATTTCACTGACATTGTATTGTCATAAAGTTATAAAAACATAAAATTAGCTATGTTGGGAGCGCTTACCTTGGAAAGTTAATCTATAGAGAGACATCCAAACTAATTCACCATGTATACATTATAGTTGTGTTTCTCAATTATATGAATTTTTGATGGTAATAACGTGATAAAAACTGAAGTTGAAAGGTAAAAGGAGAAAGATAAAAGTATTGTCAGCCCATTCTTTAAAAATACGATTTCATATACATCTATTTTTGAGGTGGATATCATATGATGGATGAAATGATCGAAATCCAGCATACTGAGACTATTCAAGCTTTCATTAAGAGTTGAGTAAGAGTAAATTACAAATGCCCTGGTATGACCGGGGGTGGGGAGAGTCCGTTATCCCTTTCAAAATACTCTCACATGGCCACGCGTATACAGCCACTGTCAGGGAAGTCCTACTCACTACCTTCTCGCGGCGGGAGTGTTTTTTACGAAATTGAGAGGACGAAAAGTGAATGTTCGGCGCTTTAACCGGGTTAGTGGACACGGAGAGTTCACCCAGGGAGTTGGAAAACCCTGGTTCTAAATCAACCCTGTACATGGGCTCCAGTATCTTGAAATAACAAATGGTGTATAGACCTATTGTTGGTCACCGGCCACCGTGAAACTGCATCTCCTAACGTTCCCCCACTGCCTTGTGAATTGGACTTTCAGGTCAAAGGCTCGGGGTGTGGCCCTCTAAGAAAGCCACCTGCCTCGGTCTGGACACCCGAGTAGTATCATAGCCCACATACAAATCAAGTGACTAGTGTAGCGCATATATATTCGGTGACACTTTGGAACAATATTCATGTGTTCAAATAAATAAAATAAATAAATGTATTCTATGTGTTTACTGTAAAATAAATTTCCCGTAATTTGTTTTGCCCAGATATTATCTACCTTCAAACTGAGTTAGTACCTGCATAATTTATAGTTTTTTCAATCAGTAATTTACTTGAAAAATATATCTATGTTAATAATAAACATTTTCTTCTGTTATTTGTTCAGGGACAGCTTCTATTGCCTTTATTCTAGCTTTGTCCTTATTGAGATGGAAAATTCCAATGATTTTCACTTCTGATCAGTAAGTTGATTTTTTCTGTTAAAAGACTCAAGTAGGTCGTTCATTTCTATAATAGTATAGTAGAACTTAAAATATACCTTAAATTGAGATATGGTTCAAAATGGATAATTAATTTCTGGCTAAATAGAAACAAATAAGTAGAAACAACAAATAAAAATTTGCTTTTCTGAACTGAATTTACAAAAATTCCAGCTTGTTTTTATTTAAAACCTTGTTTACACAGTATTTTTAGGTCGATAAGTTAAATTATTCTTTAAATATTGAACTTAATGTATAGTCTTTGTCCTAACGTTGTGATAAGTATGGTTAAGAAAAAAAACAGTGGCTTCTTAGTACTAAATACTTTGCAGCAACAACAATTTGAATGACTCTCCCAGTCTCCCACATTGTACGAGTGTTCCATGTACCTAGATAAATGGTTGCTCTGATTGTCAGAAGGGGTATCAGCCTCGTGAATTCCGAAGGAACTCGGCTTTTACCAAGAGGCGTCATAACTCTTCTAAATGAAGACCTTCTGACTCCCAGGGCAGAGTTTAGATGGTTTGAATAATTTTTCCTGGTTAGCGTTTTTTTAGCGAGTTAGTTTTCTACGGGGTGGGGTCGATAACCTCATGCTCAACCCTCCTCCTTCATCCGGGCTTGTGACCGGCAGTAGCCTCAAAGGGGCTCCAGGCGGAGATTTAACGATTCAAATAATATCCTAGATTTTACTGAAATAGAATATAAATAGCTGGAATAATATAATATAAAAATTAGAATTCAATGATCTTATTTCTTTAGTCTCTCCTTATATCGCATTTATTAAGTAGACTACAAATAGAAATATCTATTACTGTCGAATTACTATAAGAATTCTAATGAAATCAGACTACATAGAAGTACTATGATATTTGATTTAGATAGAGTTGGGACTTTTATGATGAAATATTATTTTAAAGCTTTATATTCATTCTCTATTTTAAGAATCTATTTGTTATTATTTAATCTATATTCATCTTAATTAATAAAGAGATGTCATTGAACTATCTGCTAAACTATTGCCATTGATTGCTACATTTCAAATATTTGATGGAACTGTGGTAAGATTTTAATGAAAACATATAGTGTTTCATTTTTTTTATTTCTTTTGTTTATTATAAACTAATTTCACATGGTTAAATATCCACATTCATATTGATTAAAGCATAATTTCTACAACTTCTTAGTTCATAATTTTCAATAGTCAACGACCTGTATCACAGGCAAATTACAGTGCTCTTGGTAATCTGCTTCAAAAACGTTAATTTTCAGTTAGAATATGTACTGTAAAAGCATGTAAAGAATGTTAGGAAAGTTTTATCGTGTTCATAGTCAATTTTACAAAATTAATTCCACTGGAAACCTGTAGCACTGCATAAATTTAAATAGTGATACTGTAGAAAGTGTATATGAAAAACACTGAATATGTGCAACAAGATTATTAAGGACTATTCAGGAGATAGTGATTAAAATTGCAAAAATCAGGTTCAGGGAAATTCAAACCAAACTTTTATAGGCTGGATCTCCATCAACTAAGAAATGGAAAACAATTTATCATTAGATTCTAGATTTACTTTAGTCACTCACTATCCTTACACACACAAAAACAAAACAATGTTCAATTTCCGTTTTTCGCCGTAACTAAAGGCCTACATATCATAAGCTAGCTATAAGAAACGAATTATATTAATTAATAGCCTTATATCTTTTCATAAACAGATATCGCATTGTTTCCTGTAGGTAATAATGTCTTGGATCATGCTTGAATGTTGTTTCATGTTTTAAAAGCATTATAACATGAAAATAAGTCACGAACGACCAACACTAAAAACATTGGTTGTTTTTCTGTGATAAGTGAATAAGCTGTCAAGATTTCCTATTTGCGGTCAAGCATCGGCTAAAAATACCACCACAACCACCCACATAGAACAACTTTTTAGTTACAGTGTTTATATGAGATAACTAACTTTAAAGACAAGTAGCTCTTAATAACTCAACTACTGAGAATACATATATGTATGTCTATTTTCTTAATTAGTTCAAATTGTCCACAACTTAAAGTGAAGCCTTTTTGGGGATAACTTAATCACAAATGATTGGTAGAAAATGACAAAATCATGTGATCTCAGTCTATAAGGTGAAGCATGATTGTGATTCAATTTGAATAAACCCATGTACCATAAATTATATATTTATTATACTACGTAGCTGAATATGAACTGAAATACAGATTGCGATATGAGTTATATCAACCCATTACTAGCTGAAATTCTTATTGACAAAACTGTTAAAGTTGCAGATCAGACGTTTTTTATGTTATGTAAAAGTAGATTATCTACCCAAAGGTAAATATACTATTTACATCTAAGTTAAGAAACATCTGTGTATCTCCCTCAAATAGTATTATCGAGGATATATGGTATAAAATTTGAAAACCATGAAATTTTAATGGTTTTATCACGGAAAACGTGTTCTGAATACTTGTTTTAAGGGGTTCTTGAATATCGGTAAAATATCATGTGAATCTATGGTTTGATCTACTTGTCCTATAAAATGATAAATTAAGGTTTCAAATGAATAGGTCTCCATTTGTACTTGAATATTGATCAATTTCGACTAATCAAAAGGGAAATAAGTCTACCAAGTCAAACCTTATAGCCCGTGGGTGACGTCAAATAAATTCAGTCAGTCAATGGACTACGAATAACTCAAGTTTACGCATAACTATATTAGATAAACTTTCGTTCTTTATTTAATTCCGCAGGGTGTTTGCGGGGGTGCCATTCGTGGAGCTGGACTACAACTGTTCGGTGCAATTGTTTGTTTTATAAGCTTATATGTAATAGGTTCTCCTATCAGTTTTAGCCTTGTTTACGCTGGCGGTTACGGTTTGGAAGGTAAGTGAGTGTATTTTTTGCTTTTTAGTTTGTAAATTGAGATAGTTAGACTGGTAGTTCAGCTTACAAATAAAACCACACAAGCTATTCAATATTTAACATTGTTTTACTAAAATCCTGTCTTTGCGTTTGCAAAACGATAGATTAGTCAGCTAATATAATAGGTCCAATCGGGATAAATGACTATCCGTTTAACACTAGATGAGTGAAAGATAAAAAATCCAGTTGTAGTTTCTTGGAAAATCCTCTAAAAAAGAATACTTAAGTCTCGTCAATGTCACCATAAGTGAACACAGAAAGAAAGGGTAAATGATATGGGCAAATTTAATATCTGGAACTAACATAGTGTTATACATAAACAACTGATCGTTCCACTGTGTTAAAGTGAACTAGTAAGCAGATAGTTAGAGAGTAAACTTATGTAAATTGTACTCACTTTCAACGACTCTGAATATCATTCACTGGATCCATTACTGTGTGGAACAAAATAAATTTTTGACCAACTCAAGTAATTTCTATTTAACAAAGATTTATTTGTCTGTTACTACATTTGTACCACTTGTGAGTTTTAAACGAATTAAACTCCTTAGTTGATTTGACCACTTATTTCATCGAACTCCAGAAATTTATGCTTAATCTCATAGTCCACGTTATGTATCAGTAAAAAAATAACACAACTAGCCAGGAGTAATTTATTCATACGCCAAGTTAGATGTCGATATAAAAACTCTCCAAATGTGCATATTGGGTGTAAAAGCAATTACTTTCTTAAAATGTTAAGACTCTTTCTTAACTGAATTCATCTATTAATAATAGGTTTATGGGCTGGTATGACAATTGGAACCATTTTCGAAGGTGTTATTTATCTTATAACATGTCAGCACATTAATTGGGAGAAACAGGTTCAGCTAGTAAGTAAATCTATTATTAATTTAAAATCACTTTATTTTGTCTTTGTAATTACTCGACGTTTGTCGACAAAACCAAACACGCTTTTAAAGAGGATTTTAGGAATTAACTATTTTGAAGACCTTTTTATATAATAGATCAGCGTCACGATGGCAAACACTTGTAATAAAGCACTCTGTCATATCCTGAAACTTATCTGTAGTTCATTTCACACTCAAAATTAAAAAGCCGTACATTGAGGCCTTGAGTACCAGCTATAATCTGGAAGAGTTATGAGGTTGAGTTTTAGCATATACTTGCGTTTTATCACAAGAAAATGTATTTGACCGATGGAAGTCAAACACTGTATTCTGGAAACATCCATAGATCAGCACTTTTTAAAAAGTCTTGACATTAAAAGTAAGAATCGTTTATTTATTTGTTTTTCATGTGATAATGAACTGGAATGTCATGAATTTTCAGATATAAGATTTCTGTCAGGCAAACAAAAAACTCATTTGGGTAAAAAATTAACGGTCCTCTGTATTTGGTTAAAACATATATACACTTTTCTTTCTTTGCTGTGAGCTATATAAATCTGTATAGTGGGGTTTGCGTAGATTATAGAATTCAAATAATGACAGACCACGGATCGAGTTTAGCTAAAGCATCATTGGAAACTTGGAAGCACTGGACAGTTGTCTCGTTCTGGTATAGAACTTCTCAGTATTGAGCATCCAGGAATCTACCACTGAAAATCAAATTCAGGACCTTCAGTCTGGTGCAAACCGTAATCTCGTAATTTCAGCTAGCCATTCTGTATTGTATTCCAATATATAACTCACTTCAACTTATTCACAAAATCTATTTTTATTTCCTAATTGTTTTTTTCGAAATTCAGGCTATTGAAAGAACCGAACAATTAATACTAGATGATGACCAACTGCAAGAAGGAAGTACAAACCAATCGACTGGAGGAGTTCAACATTCAACAAATATCAAGTCCTCATCGAATAAAGATGAATGTGTAAATGATGAGGAACAAATCGATGTTCAAAATGATAATTCATTTCGTGAAAGTAGGGTTCTTGGTTTTATTAAAATTTTGTCTGTGTAATGTAGCGGTGAATTCTATTTTACGACATTAAAAGCAGTTTTATCGTGAATCTTTTAAAATCCAGTATACGCTGATCAGTTTACATTAACTGTTCTGTGTAAAATATTTTAAAATATCATGATGCATAGACTGCCCACTTCTGTGTAGAAATGAATAACAACTCTTTACTTACTACATTCTAAAAATAGTAAAATAACAATAAATCTATTACTAACCTGTTGATTACATTACAATGATCTATTTAAGAATCCCTGAATATATATGGAAAGTGTCGCTTTTTATTCAAAAATAAACTACATTCAGTGTAATGGAGATTAAAAATTCTTCCATGCTGTTCATCAGTAACTTCATTTTGCTGTGTTTGAATTATCCAGTAAGTTTATTTTTCAGCAGCGTATAAAATTGAGTGCTGAAACCTTTGTCCTCTTCTAGAATACACATACGAATAAATATTGTTGCAGTTATTATTACTGTCCTATGATTATTATTAATTATTGTTTGACGTATATTACTTACTGTTAGGAATTGGCCTATTGTGATTTGTAATGAAGGGATATTTGGAAATTTCTCACATAAATGAATGAAATACGCAAATTAGTTGATAATATGAATTGACACCATTTGGTCGGGCAATTTTTCATTTTGTTGCATTGTAGTCAACGAACACTCAATCGGGGAAGACCAATTTATTGGTTATCAATCCCTGCACAGCCACATATTCAGCAAGAACAATCCCATAAATATATTTTCTTGACATTAAAATAATAAAGTTGTGGGAAAGTTTTACCTCGAAGTTATTTTTTTCCATAAAAAGTGATATCATATATAGAACCGCGTTAGATTTAGTAATTATTTTATTCTAATTGGAAATCTGGTTACACTACTATATATTTCATGAATTTTACAGACTAGTTAGCTTTATAAAACAATCGTTCATTATCAAACACATTAGATTTCTAAAAATAGTAGTCTCATTTCAAAAGTGATTTGTATCACTAAGGTGCCATAAGCAGTTTTAATACTGTTGAATTCTTCATGAAACGATAGCTTGTCTTTAATGGTGACTTCTGTTGCAGAGGTTATAACAGCTTTCAAATATGAATCAACCACCGAGTAAAAAAATTATTATAATTTACAATATTAAACAATAATAATGACAAGATCCTCAAAAAGTATTAAACAGTGTAGGAAAATATCTTACATCTCATGATATGTATTTCAATGAAAATGTATCAAATACGTTGTTAAACTTTATCAACATAACTTAAAATGTACAAATTTATGATAAAGTCAATTAACAACATGTTCTCTTATTGAAATTATAAAATCATTCAAAAGTGTGAAGGAAGTTAAAGCATTTTATTCTATTTCTTTGAGGTCCATTATTTTAACTTTATTTCACACAGTTCACATATCAAGGATATTATTTATTGTGATGTAATTCTCTTCCAGGTGTAACAGAAGCAGGAGCAAGCTTGGTAGATGACTATAATCCCCCAGCCAATGAATTTAGATCAAATTCACAAAAGAAACTTTCGATTCAATTAGAAAAGGTCATCGTGTCACGTACTATATTCATTCTATTAATGTTATTTCTACTAAGTTTAGCCATAATTATGAGAGTACTTAAACCATGGTCAAAAAAATTTGGTGCATACTGTACATTTTCTAACGGAACATTCATCTCATTAAAGGATCGTAATATATTTCTTCGAGATTTAACAGAAACAATTTTAGATGCTGACAATATTTTATTAAAATATTACGACCTAAACTGTACAATATCTATCCCCTAGATATTTCTTCCATTATTTTTAAAGATGTACATATAAATCAGTAACGTGTATCACGAAAACCATTCATCCTTTTTTATTTAAATATTACTAGTAAATTTGAAGCACAACAAATAATAATCTCATTCTTCATGAAACAGTCTTAACCTTAATTAAATACTTGCAGAGGGGATCAAATAAGATGAACTATGCACTTTAGAGTGAGTAGTAATGACTGTTGGGTTTAAGTATTTCATGTTTTTGAAACAATCAGTATGGTTTATCCGATTCCTGAAGAGAACTAACTCTGCTGGTACCAACGTCAATGACATAAGCAACGGCTGGTGCTGGTTCAAATTCATGAAATAATATAAGTTCTCTCCGTGATTCTGATGAGCTTTTGTTGTCAAAAACTTCTGCCTACTGTCTTTAGTTATTTAATATGAAACATCTATGTTGATGGAAAATCAGGTAGTACAGCAACAACGAGCCAGACTGGATCGAACAAATCTGACGGCCAAACACATCGACAAAAAGATGAATAAGTTGCAAAGCTTGTCAAAATCCAAAGTAGGAATTCATAGCCTTTATGTTTTAGTGTGGTGCGCAGTGAAAACCAAAGGATCAACCGACACGAGCTTTTATATCTTCACTTATGTTTGACAGAAGTGCGTTTGAATGTCAGTAAAACATAAGTAAACTGGAAATCCGAAACGCTTCAAACTATCCGTATATCAGGTGTTTTTGAAAACAAACTAATGTTTAGTTCTTTGAATAAAAATACTATACAACAGAAAGTGCATGGAGTATAGCAACATTATCATTTTCTACGTACCATAAAGTAAACCCGTAAGACATATGGTAAATAAAAAGCCTCTAGATTCCAAATGTTCCATACTAAATAATCCTGATAAATTGAAAAGATAAGTACACTAACATCGCTAACTGTGCATATTTGACATCGATTGAGTTATCTTTAACCATGTCCAAATAATCTGGAACTAAAATACTTTTGAAAACGTCTTCATACTCAGCTCACCTTTTTATATTCACTTAATCCCTCGATTAACGTCTGACCAATGTTCAAAATGATAAAGAGTTTATCCTTCTTTTTATTTGGACGTCACCCTTCTACTATAAGAGCAACTAGTCCATGAAGCATATTCTGTATTTCAGACTTTAATACATCAGTAAGTGGTGTGCATCATCGCGATGGACTAGTCCTATTCCACTTAAAGAAAAAACATTTTAGACTATGATAACAATGACTTCACGATATCTGGACATATCAGTTAGTGCTCCATATAAGGATAATATTAAAGCACTATATAGCTTGACTGTTAGTAACACAAGTAAAATATTTCATATGATGAAACTAAAACTATGTAAATACAAGTATATTAAATATATGATTCTGAACGAAATACAGCATTTACTATGAACTATCGCAATAATATCCTAACATAAGGATTGATTTCTATAATAAACTTATGGCGTTTTAACCCTGAATTTTATATAGTTTCGGTTTCTTAGATGATTACAACCATTCATTATTTCAGTTCATTCAATAGCGCAAGGGTGGTCAGAAACGTATTGAACTGACAGGTTCACCATAGAGAATACTTATATGTATGCCTTCCCTTAATTGAATTGATAGGCAAGGTCCTACCAATGTCAAGCTGGTTTATAACTCACTAATACGAGTATACTTCTCGACTATAGACCAAAAATTCAAGCTTTGGCCAGTGACACAATCCAACCGATAACAATTAATTTTGGGAAGCGGCTTAGATAATGTTAGATGCATTTTAGCTCATAACACACGATTCCCTGAAATATCCTATCCAGTCAGAAATCAAACACAACAAGAATGCCAACTTTCTGCTATTATCTAATTCAATCATTAGAAGGCGCTAATTTCAAAAAGGGCAGTGATTTTTGTACTTGTTGTGATTATACTTGCTTTTGGCACTTATTGCACTAAAAAGCATTCTTGGTCTACTTTAACTAAGAGTTCTTTGGTTAAAGTTTGAAATTTTTTGCTACATTTGGTCTTGGGTACCTGTTTTTAGTCCTTGACTAAGACTTGTGTTCACATTGTTATCGTTTTTTGTTTTTAAACCTTTTAAATCGAATTACAATGGTTGGTAAGACTCACAAATGTGGACAACCAAATTGTTTGTTCTCCGTTGAGGAGGGAATGCAGTGTGACGACTGTAAAAAGTGGTATCACAAAATGTGTACACGACTAAGTCCGACGGCTTACAAAAGATGCTCGAAGCCTAACTCGCATTGGCTTTGTGTGTTCTGCTGTACGGATAAAAAGGTACTAATACAGGAGGCTATGGGCTTATTGGCTTTGGCCTGCAAGAAAAACGATGGCGGAAGCACTGATAACAGGAGTACTGACGATGAAGAATGTATCAGTGTAGTAAGTGCTGCTACTGGACCCAATAAACACCTGACTGCGGTTGACGGGAACGTGAAGTCTCCGTTGACATTAACGAGAAATGAAGTGTTGCCTGATATTGACATCGGCAGTCATACACCTCTAGTCGAAATAGAAGATCCGGATAAAACTGTCACCGTTCCACATAGTCCAGGTGTGGCTGTTCTGAGTGGTGACAAATGGACTCCGGTAAGAAGAAAAAAAATAAGAAGAAAAAGGCTGTAGGCAAAACGCAGCTGGTCAGCAAGACATTGGAAGGGACTTTATCAGAAGAAAAATCCTCACCGCGTGAAAAGAAAGATCTCTCTGAGAGATCAGTCATTTTTCATAAGATAAGAGAATCTTCAGACACTGAACCAAAGGCAAGATTTGAACATGATCTCAATCATATTAAGACATCATTAAGTAAACTACTCCCAGATACAGTTTCAGGAGTTAGTATTTGTAAGCTTTATAGAATAGGAAAAAAGGTGGATTCCGAAAGTCCTCAGAAAATCCGCCTCCTAAAGGTTACATTCAATACGGTGGAAGAAAGGAACCTGGTTCTAAGTAATTCACGTAAACTGATTGGATCCGGAATATATGTCCGTGAGGACCTCAGCCTAGCTGATCGTATTAAGAGAAGGGCTGCAGAAGCGGAAATAAACGAGCGTCGCCGAAACAGTGAAAGAAACCTCGTTCTTAAGGGTTTTCAGATTGTAAAATTTCGGAGCAAAACGATCCCCAAGCCACTCTGGGTGGCAAGGGAAAGCTCTCCACAGACATAAAAGTGTGCTACACAAATGCTCGCAGCCTACTAAATAAAATGGCGGAGCTGAAGTCAGTGGTGGATAAAGAAAAACCGGACGTTATCGCTGTCTCGGAAACTTGGTTAACGTCAGAAATATTAGATAGTGAAATCCAGTTGACTGGTTTCATAACCAGTAGGGCTGATAGATTAAACCGAAGGGGAGGCGGGGTTATTGTGTACACGAAAAGTACCCTAACCATAAGATCAGCTGAGACAGTAGCACATGTTTCAGGGACATGTGAACTGGTGAGATGTAAGTTGAAATGCCGAAGGCAAGATATTGAATTAGCTGTAGTTTATCGCAGTCCAGAATGTGTAGCAGATGATTTTCTCCTCAGTAAACTTAAGTCCTGGTGTAACAACGGTAAAAGCCTTGTAGTAGGCGACTTTAATGCACCATATATAAACTGGGTTAACTTAGAAGTAGAGTCATCTATATCTTCGTTCGACTCCAAATTGTTAGAAACCTCGATTGAACTAACATTATTCCAACACATTAGAGATCCCACAAGATACGACTTAAGAAACTCTTCCTTTCTTTTACATTTAGTCTTCACACACGGTGAGGACGTTGGTCAAACGGCTTTTCTCCCACCACTTGGGAGAAGTGACCATGCAGTCATCTTATTCAAATTCATGGCTGAAATTGCTTCTCAAACAATTGCGCCGGCCCGTCCTAACATATGGAAGGCAGATATGCAGGCAATTAACTCCGCAGCATTGGCTGAGAATTGTGAAATTGACTCAAAGGCATCAGTACAAGAGGCATGGACTCTATTCAGGCAGTTATACAATCGGGTAACTCAATCATATATACCCTGGACTGTCCCAAAGAAAAAGAAGCACGGACATCCCTGGTTAGGGCGGGATATTCGACGCTTACTAAGACAAAAGAAGAAATCCTGGGATGTTGCCATCCGCCTTGGCACAGCAGGTACGATGGAACACTACAGATCGATAAGAAACGTGTGTATAACTAAAATTCGGGAAGCGCAAAGAAAATATGAAATGCAGCTGGCAGAATCTGCACTCAAGCAGCTCAAGAGGATATTCTCGTACATAAACTACAGAACAAGGACTCATCACTGGATTCCCAACCTAATTAAAGTAGGAAGTGAATCTGAAATGATAGAGGAAGATCAGGAAAAAGCTGAGGTTATAGCTGACTACTTTGGGGCAGTTTTCACTCAGGAATCTCCTCTAGAGGAAGAACCAGACCCAATTACAGAGTAAAGAAACCAGCTGCTCACCGTGGACTTCGACCAAAACGATGTGCTTAAGGCTCTTAGCACCCTAAACATGGAGAAGTCAACAGGACCAGATGAACTACACCCTAAAATCTTGAGACATATTGCCGAATATATCGCAGCCCCACTAACTGTGATATTCAAAATGTCACTTGACCGAGGTGTGTTACCTATGGACTGGAAGGACGCAATCGTCACTCCCATACATAAAACTGGTCTACGACAAGTTCCATCAAATTACAGACCCGTAAGCCTCACCAGTGTTGTAATTAAAATACTGGAAAGAATAATCAAACGGACCATAACGGCATTTATGGAAACCAATAACTTGCTGAACATGGCACAACATGGTTTTAGAAAGGGTCTATCCTGTACAACGAACCTCCTTATAGCTAGGGAGCTCTGGATTAATGCGCTAGACAACGGAAACTCAGTGGATGTTGTCTACATAGACTTCAGTAAGGCTTTTGACAATGTGCCAACTAATAGACTGCTATTAAAGTTGGCAAACCTTGGTATTGCCGGACCTCTTTTAAAATGGATTAAGGATTTCCTAGTAGGTCGTAGGCAAAAAGTAAGAATAAATTCCAAGTGCTCCATCTGGAGACCAGTACTTAGTGGAGTACCCCAAGGTTCCGTCCTAGGTCCTTTACTTTTTATAATGTACGT